CTCGGAGCCTGGAGCCCGCTTCGGATTCTGTGTCTCCCTCTCTCTCTCTGCCCCTCCCCTGTTCACACTCTGTCTCTCTCTCAAGAATAAATAAATACTTTAAAAATTTTGTCAGTAAAACGTGTTTCTCATAGGAAGCCCTCAGTTGGTTCTCGCTCTTTTACCTATTTGACAGTCTCTGCCTTAATTGTGCTGTTTTTACTTTCGCGTTTGTGTGGTTACTGATATGACTTTGTTTAAATTTATCATTTTGCTATTTGTATTTGTTCATTGTTTCCTTTTTTTTTTTCTTTTTCTGCTTTTATTTTGTAATTCCGTTTATCTCCTCTCCCGGCTGGTAACTTTTCTTTTGCAGCGTGTGTCCTGTCACTTCAGGGTTTCTGACAGCGCTATGCACTAGAACTTTCTGCTGCGATAGACATGTTCTGTATCTGTGTTCTCTGACATGGCAGTCACTGGCCACAGGTGGCTGTGGAGCATCTGAAATGTGGCTGCTGCACCAGGGGAATGGAGTCTTCAGTTCTCTTTAACTTTACTTCAGTGCAGCGTTGAGTAGCTGCGTGTGGAAGGTGGTGTCGTGTCGGCGTAGCACAAGCTTGAAGCATCTAGGGGTCTAGTGTGTCCCACATGGTGAGACCCCCATGGCAGCACCTTCCCGGTCTCTTTTCTTGGACATTTTGCTAATGTCATAAATACGGCTTCTACGTACGCTCTGAGATTCATGCTGTGTTTTACCGTGTTTACTTTACATATATATCGTCCGTTACCTTTTAAAAGCATCTTAAAAGAGAAGTCTTTTCTGACGCCTACCATGTAATTCCCATTCTTGGTCCACTGCTTTGTGTGGACCCACACCCCCCCATGGGGTCCTTGTTCTGCTAAACAAAGGGAACGTCTTTGGTGCTCATCTGCGAGTGAGCGGTTCTTTCGGCCCTTGTATGTCTGGAAGAGTGTTTCACCTCCATTCTTGAAAGATATTTTTGCTGGGTCTTGAATTCTAGGCTGGAGCTTTGCAGAGGCCGCTCTGCTGTCTTCTGGCTCGTTGCTTTCCTTCTTACCTTTTGTTCTTTTGCATGTAATGTGCACTTTTTTCTAGCAGCTTTTAAGATTTTCTCTTTATCACTAGTTGTAAAAAAAATAATAATTTACAACATGCCTTGGGACAGTTTTCTTCCAATTTCTGGGCTTGGGGTTCCTTGAACTTCTTGGATATATGGACTTACAGTTTTCCTCAAATTTGGGTATTTTTTGGCCATTCTGTCTTCAGATAGTCTTTCTGCTGAGCCCCTTCTTCAGATTCCCGTTGCTCCTTGGAGCCGCCCCGCAGCTCAGAGATGCTCTGCTCAGATGTCTTCAGGACTTGCCTCTGCATTTTGGAAGGTTCCTATTGCCAGTCCTCAAGTTCACTAGTCCTTTTTTTTTTTTTTTTTTTGCAATGTGTAGTCTGATCCAGTGTGCTTTAACGTCACACATGATAGTTCTCCTCTCCACCGGTTCAGTTGGCTCTTTTTTAGATCTTCTGTGTGTCTACTTCACGTGCTCAGTCTTTTCTGGGTCTTCAAAGAACAGCTATTTCAGTGTCCTTGTCTGCAGATTCTGTCATACATGTCATATCTTGTTCTGTTGAGAGGTTTTTCTCCCCGTTGTAAGTTGTAGTTTCTGTTTCTTTCTAAGTCTGCTGACCGTTTTTTTAAAATGTTATATTGATTTTTGAGAGAGAGCTGGGTTTTTTTTGTTTTTTTTTTTTTTTCTCACAAGAGTGGGAAGGGCATAGAGAGAGGGAGACAGAGAATTCAAAGCAGGCTGTGCACTCAGAGCAGTGAGCCCGACGTGGGGCTCAGACTCATGAACCACGACATCATGACCTGAGCTGAAGTCGGACACTCCACCGACTGAGCCACCCAGGCACCCCTAAGCCTCATAAGTTTTCAATGCCAGACACTGGATTTTATCTTGTCAGCTGTTGGATATTTTTCCGTTCCTGAAAATATTTTTAAGTTTGTTCTGGGACGCAGTTAAGTTACTTGGAAACAAATACTTTCAAGCCTGGCTTTAAGGCTTTGTTAGGTGGGTCCAATACCTGTTGGAATGCTCGGTCTGATGTCTCGTCTATTACAAGCCTTTCCATTGGGGCTGATGGGAACCACGCTGTTCTTGATCCTGTGTGAGCTCTAGGAATTATTCCATCTAATCCAGTGGCTCTCAGCCCTGGAGACATTTTTGGCTGTCATGACGGGGGCGGGGGGTGGAAGTGATGAGATCAGCAAGTGGGTAGGGGCCAGGAATGCTGGTAAGTGCCCAACGATGCACAGAACGGCCCCCACCCCAGAGAATGGTGGCAGCCCGGGTGCTGGTCGAGCCCTGCTCTTATCCCATTAGTTGGGTGTCCCAACATGACATGGTTTCCTATACTCGTGCACTGACCAGTGCTCGGCTGACAGCCCGGAGGGGACCCTCTGAAGTGCTCCACACCTCTGTGCTGCTCTCTCTTCCTGGTGCTCTGCCACCTTGGCCTCCTTGGACCCCAGTTCCACGCCCTCAGTGCAGAGACCACACAGCTCCCCTGGCCCTCTGCGCCAGGGCCCGGCAGCTCTCAGGTGGCAGCCGGGGCCATCGCGAGGCTCCCTGGGGTACACGGGCCACTGTCCCATGCTGGTGGTGGTCGGTGTTTGAAAGCTGCCTTCTCCCCGGTCCGCTGAGTTTCAGCAGCTTGGACACAGCGGCTCCAGTGCCCGCCACTTTCCTGGATATGGGCGTGTCGGACGTGTGACCCTGCTCTCACTAACTTGCTGGGTTTTTTTTTTTCAGCTTTTGAACATGTCAAACTACAAGGAGAAGTTTTCAACTTTGCTCTGGCTTGAGGAGATTCATGCAGAAATAGAACTGAAAGAGTATAACATGAGTGGGGTCACCTTGAAAAGAAATGGGGATTTGCTGGTTCTGGAGGTCCCAGGACTGGCTGAAAGTAGGCCTTCTCTGTACGCAGGTGGGTTTGTTACGTGTCCTGTTTTCTAGAGGGACCGCAGACGCTGCCCCCTTTGGGGGAGAACGTGTGAACCGCAATACTGCAGTCCCGTCGTCTCCCTTCCTTTGCTTTGGCTCAGAGTTTTCCGTGCACCCAGCCCTGCGCTTTGGCCGTGGTGACACGATTCCTAAGCAGCTGACCCCCGCTGACCTTTGTTCACAGCGTTTGATTTTATAGTACAGCAGCAAAGCTCTGTGATTTTATCGTTTTACATGTCACGCTATGTTTTTTAACTAGGTGATAAGCTGGTCTTAAAAAGCCAAGAGTACAGCGGACATGTCATCGAGTACATCGGCTATGTGGTTGAGGTGAGAGGCGCGCCTGCTCCGCTAGTGCTGGGCCAGCCCTTCCGGCCAGTCGGGGGTCACCTGCCCACCCTGGCTGGGGCAGAGGCGCTTCTTCAGGCTTTGACGGTACTTCAGAAGATGCAGGATAAAGTAAATACTTAAATAAATTTGATGCAGAAAGAGAACTTAATAGCTTTTTAAAAATTACGTACTTTTTGGGGTGCCTGTGTGGCTCTGTTAGTTAAGTGTCTTGTCTGACTCTGGATTTGGGCTCAGCTTGTGATCTCACAGTTCTATGAGTTCGAGCCCCACGTTGGGCTCTTGGGCTCTGTGCTGATAGATTCTCTCTCTCTATCTCTCTCTCCCCGCCCCCCCAACCCCTCGCACACGTGCTCTCAAAATAAATAAAAAAATTTTTTAAGTCCTATAATTTTCAATCACGTAAGCCGTATAGCCATATTTACCTTTTAAATATATCAAGTGTAAGCTGTGATGTTTGCATTTAGTCAAATTTGGGCATCCTGAATGTGCTCCAGAAGAGAGAGCCTCGGAAGGAAAAATACACTTAAAAGTCTACAGCTCTTACTGCTTCTGTGGAGATTTGTTGGCTTTTCTAGCCCCTCCTGGCCCACCGTAAGGTTGTGTGACTCGGCAGCTGGTCTCCATTGCCACCCTGCTCGTAGCACTGCCGCGAAGGGTCAGGGGAAGCCTGCTCACTGCCCCAGGCAGAAAACTAACTGAGGATGCACCAGCGCCCTGCCTCTGGAGTGGGGATGGGCTGCGGGGACTAGAAGGGTCTGGTAAGGATTTGCAAGAGGGGCGACACGCAGCCACGCTTGCCGCATTCTGCACCAGCACGCCAGCGCCAGCCCTGGCCAATGCAGCTGGTGGTGAAACCAGTGCTGTAGGACGACTGGGGAGGGAGCCGACCCTTGGCGCCCTGCCAGCTGCTCCCGCTGACTGTCCTCAGGGATGTGGCGGCACAGCGAGCTGCCCTCTCTCCCCCTGCAGAGTGGTGGCCACTTAGCCTGAACCTCCCTGGCTGTAACCACTCTGGCTGTCGACCAAGAGGTATGAGGAGCCCATTATGGCCAGCTGGCACAGTCTTAGCTTCCAAAGAGTAGACCCGATTGTGCCCCTCAGGGAGGAAGCCCTGGGGACTAAAGCCTCAGAAGCAGCAGGGCCAGAGATTGAAGGTACAAGGCCCCCTTGGGTCCTGAACACTGGTTGGGGGGGCGCCAGCACCATAAGCTGACAAACCCACACTGAAGCCTTGGGGGTGTGGAGCACCCTTACTCATCCTTCGTGGGATATTCCACAAAGTCATCTGCCTCTGAGTGATGGAATTCATGGTCGAGTTAGTAAACTCTACAGGCCTCAGCCCATCGCTGTACTTGATTCTCTAGAATTTCATTTTTGGCCAGTGCAGTGGCATAGGAAACCGTGATGGTCCAGGAGCCCCTCAGGAGAGCCCCACAGGTGGTGTGGCGGGCAGAAGACACGCATCCAGGATGAGCACTTAACTTACTCCGTTGATGTCAGATTGGTTCTTCCTTGACAGGCGGCACAGTGTTCTCACCCTGGCAGCAGCTGGTGGGGACATTCCAGAGTGAGGCCACTGTGCATCTGGCAGGTTGTGTACTCATGCTAGTCCGGGGGGCCCCAGCACTGACCCCTGCCACCGTAGTCACCTCCACAGAGGGGCCTCCTTGTTGCCAGGAGCATGTGCCTGGAAACAGACATGGTCATGTCCTCCTTTCCTGCTTAGTTTATCTCATTGAGCATGATTTTCATCTCCAAGTACTCTGCTTGATTTATTAAAGGTGCCCTGGATTTTTTTTTTTGGAGGGAGAGAGGTGTGAGTTTTTTTTGTTTTATTATTTTAGAGACAGCATGAGCAGGGGTGGGGGGGGGGTGCAGGGGCAAAGTGGGAGAGAGAGAGAGAGAATGAGAATCCTGAGCAGGCTCCATGCTCAGTGCAGAGCCATCTTGGGGCTCTATCCCAATGGCCCTGGGATCATGACCTGAGCTGAAATCAAGAGTGGATGCTCGACCGCCAGCCACCCGGGTATCCTGCCCTGTTAGTTTTTATATTAGGTTTGTTTATCTTTTCCTTTATGGATTTTTTTAAAAATTTCATATGTAGTATTTCAGGTTTCTAGAAATAACTGTCAGTATGTGAAGTCCTTCGGGCCCAGATCTGTGATGGCTGTTTTTGCTGACCCTCACTCTTGGTGATTTGCTTCCTTGTGTGCTTGGTGATCTTTAATTACAGATTCATTTTCATCTGTCTCCATCCCTGGGAAACCTGGGGACCCGTGCCGGGCTCCCCCTCCGTCCACAGGGATTGTGGCTTCTGCTTTGCTGCAGGGAGGGGCCCTGCTGACGGGGCAGCTCCACCACCCGTGTGCCTGCCGGCCTCCTGTCACAAACCAGAGCCGGCTCCGGTCACCTGGCCTCCGTGAAGCCCGCGCCGCCTGGCAGCCCTCATTCAGTTTGCACCCCTTTTCAACTCAGGGCTTTCCTTCCTGTTTTTTTTGTTTGTTTCCTCCCGTGCTCCCTTAGAAATTCCCTTTCTGCCCCACCTGTCCAGGAACAGCTTTGTGCAGGCGTTAGTTTTGGCTGGAGGGTCCCAGGATAATAGGTTCCCTATTCTGGAAGGGGAAGTCTTGGAATGACCTCTTTACGGAGGTGCTTTTGCGGCAGGTACCCCTCGCTGCATTGGTCATTGTTTGCTTTCTCGTCTTCTTCAGAGAAGACCTGTGTGGCACACTGTTTCCCCAGAGCCCAGATCTCTAGAGTGCAGCCAGTGAAAAGCTCAGTAAGTGTGCTGGTGTGGGTGCATCCACCGACCAGGTCCTCCCGTGTGGACAGTGTAACGACACCAAACAACACTGTGATTTAATCCTCTTGATTATTTTTGCAGGGATTTAAAATGCCCAAGTGTAGCTCAAATCTGTAAAGGGTTTCATGATGTGTGACTAGATAAAGATAGAAGATTGTCCCAACGAATCCAATGTAAAGTATGGAAATTAAATTGTTTGTTTCCTTTTTAGATTCACGAAGAAGAAGTAACTCTTAAACTTAACCCAGAATTTGAACAAGCATATAACTTTGAACCCATGGATGTGGAATTTACATATAACCGGTGAGGCTTTCGGTGTCTCTTCCTGCAAGCGCATTTTCGCTGTTGATGGCAGCAGCCTCTTCCGTCCGTCTCTCCACCCGGAAGTGCCGGGGTGGGGGAGGCAGCGTGGGGTGTTCGTGTTTCTAGGTCACGACTCCAAAGTTGCAAACATTTTCTCTTCATTCATTTCTGGACTTTAAGTACGCTGAGATCTTGTCATTTACCACGTTACGAGCGTGGAGCAGTGGCCCTGCCAACCTACCGTCCCCTCCCTTTCATCCACTGCACCCCC